TATATATATATATAAATATATATAAATATATATATAGAATTTTTTCTTAAAGCGCTTTGGAACTTCGTATTTTCTTTCCTCAGGTTATCAGCATATACCCAGATCAATGCAAGCACCTACAGTGATTTATTTGCACACATATATATATATATATAAGTAGTGCTATACATATATATATATATATATATATATATATATATATATATATATAATATATATATATATATATATATATATATATATATATATATATATATATATATATATATATATATATATATATATATATACAGTAGTACCCGCTTAACGTAATAAATTGAAACTACTAGGGTACCGTGTTAAGTGAACTAAGAAGTAAATAAATAGAACATATGTGGGATTAATTCCATTATTTAGAGACTGCCCGGACCCCCTAAACTTATTCCTTTTTTCCGACACAATACCTATATGTTCTAGTAAAATAACATCTTAATTTTATGATGGTACATGCACACAATTAATACTTAAGAGAAATAGAGAAATACAGTCGCCAAGTTAATGTCCATTCAAATAATGGACTCAACTCCTTCCCCCTCTTCTCACACTACACTCACTGGCTCTTCCCTCTCTGAGAAATTTTGGGGGAAAACCACTAAATTTTAATAAATAATACCTCAAACTAAAGTTAGGATAATATAATTGACATTGCTGGGTTCCTTGTAAGACCAGGAATATTTTGAATATAAATGTCATATATTTTGCACGAAAGATAACATATTTACTCAGAGTAAACATTAGATCTAAAATTTGTATGTCTAATGCAAAATCTATGATGTTTATATTCAAAATGATCATCAAATTGTAAGAATTCTAGCAATGTAAATTATATTCTGGCCGGGTAATTTGTATGAACTTTATGAGCTAAATCAAATATCTTCAGTTAATAAATTAAAAAATATTTTTCACGACACTATCTGTCAATTAAAGTACCCCACCTTGCCTCCCCCCCTCTTCCAACCGCGCCAGATGGTTGGTCGGTCCCTCCCTCCCCCCACCCTCCACCAACCCTCCCTACCAGATAAATGTGTGAGAGAAACCGGAATATTTACCTCTTTAGTAATAAATAATACCTCAGACTAAAGTTAGGATAATATAATTGACATTGCTGGGTTCCTTGTAAGACCAGGAATATTTTGAATATAAATGTCATATATTTTGCACGAAAGATAACATATTTACTCAGAGTAAACATTAGATCTAAAATTTGTATGTCTAATGCAACATCTATGATGTTTATATTCAAAATGATCATCAAATTGTAAGAATTCCAGCAATGTAAATTATATTCTGGCCGGATAATTTGTATGAATTTTATGAGGTAAATAAAAAAATTATACTTCACCCCGGGTTTCGGCAGGGGTACCGCGTAAACGTGGAAAAGCGGAATGTGGGACCACAGCTCAAGATTGAAGAAGCCGCAAGTCCGGAAAACCGTGAGGGCAAACTTTTTCGGAGGAGGGTTGTAAACTCTTGGAACAATCTACCAGAAAGTGTTGTGACGGCACCGAGTGTGAGCTCTTTCAAGAGAAGACTTGACCAACACTGGAGCGGGTTCAGGTACATTCAGGAGCCGGTGCATGCCCAGTATTTGCCAACAGTGCGTGACAGAGACGTGACCGATCGCCCGGAGGCTAGCGAGCCGACCTTTTGGTGAAGAATATAAAGGAAAAGAGTCGTGACCGATCGCCCAAGCGCTAACAATGACCAGTGGCGAAGATGATAAAAGAAAAAAGCCGCAGCTTTAGGGTTGACTGTATATATATATATATATATATATATATATATATATATATATATATATATATATATATATATATATTTATATATACGCACACAGTGGTCCCTCGGTTAACGAACGGTTCGATTAACTAAATTTCGGTTAACGAATTACCTCCCATAAGGATCTTCAATTCGGTTAACGAACAAAACTTCGATTAACGAAATCCTTACGACAAACACGTTTTGTTGTGGCCATCAGCTGATCAGCTAGTCCACCAATACAGTAATCTGTTCTATGTTTACATTCGTTTCCAGTGGAGTAAATATCAAGAAGGTTGTGTTCTTGAATATTTTTGCATTTTTTATATTAAAATTAATTATTGGTCATTCTAAAATTTAGCCATCCAAGCTCTCTCTACATAAAGTTTTTCAACTAATATTTTTGGCTCGATATATGTAACTTTATTCATTTATTGAAACTTATTTACATGCACACACTGTCCTAAGAGCAAAGCTGTACTGTACATGTAATCAAAACAGGTTGACAATCCCTTATCCGAAATCCTTGGGGCCAGAGGAATTTCGGAATTTTTCGGTTTTCAGAATGGTTAGTTTTTTTTTTTTTTTTTTTAATGTGTATTAGCCCACCCGGGCATAGATCACTGACCCACATCAGGGCCTGGGGGAGGGGGGCGAAAATATAATAAAAATTATAATAATAATAATAATAATAATTCATAAGTCTAGGTCGTGTTTCTCACTTTTGATCTTTTTTCCATTCTTGTATTTCTTTATTATTATTATTATTATTATTTTATTATTACAGTACTCCTATATTATTGTTATTTTTATTAATTTTATTATCATATATTATTATTATTATTAATGTTATCATATTTTATTTTGGTGTATTTTTATTAAAATTTGTATTTACTATGAATAATTATTATTATAATTATTATTACTATTACATTTTCGCCCCCCAGGCCCCGATGTGGGTCAGTGATCTATGCCCGGGTGGGCTAATCACTGTTTTAAAAAAAATAAATAAAAAAAAATAAAAAAATATTGCCCCACAAAAAAAAAACTTTCGGTTTTCAGAGCTTTTCGGTTTTCGGAATTTCGGCTAAAGGGTTGTCAACCTGTACTGTGCAAAATGATTACTAAAATTTTTGTCTAGTGTAAACTATATATAGCTTGTTTACATTCAAATTAATCACTATCTTATAAGAATTCCAGCAATATAAATTATATTCTCCACGGTCACTTCTATGACATTTTATAAGCAAAAAACAAAAACTCAATCTAAAGGACATAAATAAACAAATAAATACTTCGCTAGACATTCAGTGCCAACTGTCAAACATGTCACTGTCACCTCCCCTTCCTCCCCTCCCCCTCCTCCCAGCCAGGGTTTGGTGGTTATACAGTAGGCTTACAGTTTTTATCTTATATGATATCACAGACTAAAGTTAGGAGAATATAATTTGCATTGCTGGAATCCTTGTATGTATGCATGTATGTATTGATGTATGTATGTATGTATGTAGCGGTGGGCGCAGCCAAATGAGAAGTTAGCTTCACTAACCGCTAATCTGCTAAGTAAAAAGTTATCTTCGCTAACGCTATACCGCTAAACAGCTAAAAAATTTAGCGTTAGCTAACGCTAACCGCGAACTTTTATTATATGAATTTAGCTTCTTCTTTTGGGGGGGGGGGGCTCTAAAACCCTTAAAAACAGACCTAGAGAGCTGAAATTTTCACATGCTGTCTTGTAGCTTAGACATAGAGCTTTCCAAAAAGGTATAGCATGCCAAGATCAGCTGATGATTAAGGTGTACACAAATAATTAAATGAACAAATGAAATGAAACATTAGTTTACATTCAAGTTTCAATATACACTTTATAATCTTTATTTACTGTACGAAAAGACAGAAAGCATTAAACGAATCCAAAAACTATAGTACAGGTAGTCCCCGACTTACAACTGCCTCAACTTACATCCATCGGTACTTACGACCTGCTCTGACCTTACGACCGTCGGAACGTACGACCGCTGCAGTCGTGACCAAATTTTTTTTTTCTTTCAAATGACGCACGCATTTTCTATACCTAAACGTTTCCAGTTAATGTAGTCTCCATGTATACTGTAATTAGAAAATTATGGGGGCCCCGTGTGCATTCAGCTGACTACATTAAAGGTAAGTGCTCAGTCACACTGTATCCATTCCTCATTATTTATTACTTTTACTGTACTGTATTTCATTGTAGATTTTTTATTTATTTATTTATGTATTTTTATTTATTTTTTTATTTTATTTATTTTTTATCTATATGCCGGACTTACGACCTGGATTTGGGTCCCTAACCCTGTCGTAAGTCGGGGAGCACCTGTACTGTATAGCATAGGTAGCAAATAGCATCATGCCAAGATCAAAATGATGATCAACTTATCAAGGTGTACACTGTACACAATTTCACAAATTATTAATTTGCATTCTCATACAACCTATTGGCCTTATTCATTATTCATGTAAATATGCAATACCAACCACATACACATTATACCAGTGCATTTTTGTATAACTTATTGTTGGTCTTAGTCATGTAAATAAACAGAAAACTCTAAACTTTAATGAAAAGTAAATTTTTAGAAAATTTTGTTTGGCACACACCTTGGATGACATCCTGGTTATGAATTTATGCAGTACTTAGCATAACCAAATATAATTACACAAAAAAATCTTAAAAAAATTTACAAATAAATGAGAAAATAAACTATACATTAGTTTACAATTACACTCTATGATTCTTTCAACATACACTGACAGTCTTTATTTACTGTCTTGTCACGTTTACACGTACTAACACGCAGTCAGCCAAGCTTGCCTGACTCGCTGTTGGACACGCGTCGCGGCGTCACACGCTTACAACAGACAGGAACAAACATGTATAAATTTTGTTAGCAGACTTAAAGTTAGCGGAACTAAATTTAACGGAAGATAATTGGTCCACTAATGGTTTCCAAAGTTAGCGAAAACGCTAATCCACTAACGAGAAAGTTGGCTTCGCTAATTAGCGGTTAGCGGATTAGCGGAACCGTGCCCACCACTGTTGTATGTATGTATGAGTGTGTGTGTGTGTGTGTGTGTGTGTGTGTGTGTGTGTGTGTGTGTGTGTGTGTGACTTGCTGAGATATTATTAGACAGTAATACTAACACATGACTAATTATTGTTTCAGTCGTGTCCCGCTGCCTCTCACAGTGGATGAGGTGAGTGTTTATGAGAATATTAGTGACTCAACATCCATTAAGCCTATTTTCATGTTCTAGTGAGATATACTGTGATGTCTTTAGATTTTTTTACTGTATACTGTACTGTACCTTGATTTAACTACAGCTACTCCTCGACTTACGACCTACTCGACTTACGACCACCTGGACATACGACCACCTCAGTCATACCCAAATTTTGTCAAATTACGTATTTTTGAGTCCCAACATCAGTGATTGTGCTGTGTACTGACAAAATTTTCGTTTGTGATTCACTTTAAAATGGCTGGCAAGCTTAAAAGTGAGAGTTTTGTGGTGCTGAAAAGAATAAGAGACACCCATTTTAGATTTTCTATGTATTATTTAAGCATTTTCGACTTATGACCAATTCGACTTATACTGTAACCTGGATTTGGGTCCCTAACCCCATCGTAAGTCGAGGAGCAGCTGTACTGTGCTCAGAGGGCATCTGACCAACCCCCTACATGCACACACATGACATATTCTTGTGATGTGGTGGTGTGTGTGTTATAATACCACCTGGGACTAGCTGTGGTAAATGTGGTGGTATTTGTATGTGTTACAGTATCACTTGGGCCAGCTGTGGGCAGTGACAGAGGCTAGCAAGAGAGAGACAGGTGGTGGGGAAGGCATTGAAGTGCTGACCAATGAACCCTTCACAGGCATCCCGCTCCTGGGGGACAAATTCTCCTCCGGCCAGTACACCTACAAGATCTTCCACCTCAAGAAGTAGGTGGTCTTCCTGTGTCTGTCCTAATATAACATGTTTATATGTATAGCTATCTTCTGGTTCTTGCTGACAACATAAAACAACCAGAATAGTGAATAAAGTAGAAAATCACCTCATTTTCCATACATAACCTGAAAGACCAAAAATTTCCAGGTGCTTCTTAGGACGGTAAATTGCATTAAGTTATCCATTAACCCATGACTTTGAACGTGTTTATGACTCAGAACAATGATAGCTACTAAACTGGAATCAAGATTGCACTGAAACTCTTCCTTAGTTATGAGGAAAAATTAAGGTAAGGACTAAGATGATCATTTTGTGAATCACCACAATTGGCTAATATAATCACTTGACAGAGATTATCATTTACGGTGATTAGAGCACAGATACGACATATTATGTAATATGTTGGAACCCCACAAATGGCTCTCTTTCCATCTCTGTATCCTTAATTTTATCAAATGGATTTTCAATGAATTTATTCAAAAGCCATCGAATATGTACACTATTTTATTCGACGTGTACCCATCACAATTTACGGTGAATCCTTACTAAACATCTCGGCCTCATTTTGAAATTGTCAAGAATCTGAGTTTACAATAGCTCATACAATGAATATTCTTCATAAATGAAAATGTATAACTAAATGCATTCGCTTAACACTAAATAGAGGTGAAGTACTGTAGTACTGCACAGTACTGTACATTAGTTTTGGTTCCCAAGTGATGTTAAGTGAGCTTTCAGTACAGTATCTAGTATTATTATAATACTGTAGTCATAATTTTGTTTATGTCCTGTTTATGTTTTAATTGAAGTCAATTGGTTAAAACTTAGATTCATTCACTCATCTTCAGCTACGAGAAATATCCATCGTACGAACCTTTCAAAAAATGGTACTTGACCTCGGTAGACATTCTTGACTGATGACTTACTGAGTAAGGGAAGAGGCTATTTGCTATTATATCTGATCTGTGATAAGATATTTATTTGTTAGTTATACATAAAATTAATTAATGAGCTGCCTTTCATTTTGGTTTATAGTTTTAGTTTAGTAGTATAGGTACTGTACCATATATATATACACACAGTACAGGGTATATTCTTGTGTAGGATAGTACGTGTCTCAGAATACACAAGTTGGTTGAACCAAAATTCGTCTCCAAAAAACAGCAGCTTCTGAGAATGGAGGGGGACCGAAGTTACTACTAAGAGCAGAGACGTTACCGAGAACAAATTCTGGCTTGAATGTCATGTACACTAATACTGACACGTTCCTTGATAAGAGAGAGGAGTTTGAAACACTACTGAGAGTGCACCAACCCGATATTGTAGTTGTAGAACTGTTGTACAAGAACAGGAGAATCGACCCAGAGGAATGTGAGTTCAGTATTGCTGGATATGACTCATTTACGAACCTTTCTCAAGAAACTTGCAGGAGGGGTGTGGTTATCTACGCTAGGCAAGACCTTAGAGCCAGCCAGGCGAGGGTACAGGGAGAGGATGTTTTTGAAGAGTCCAAGTGGTGTAAAATTAAATTAAAGGGAGGGGACTTACTTATCGTCGGGTGTATCTACAGATCCCCAAACTGTGGCCCACTAAATCAAAGGAACTTAAGAACCTTAATAAACAACGCGGCGATGCTCAACCCTAGCCACCTCCTTATCATGGGGGACTTTAACTATGGCGACATCGACTGGAGAAACGAGTTCACCCCAAATGACTTGAATAACCCTGCTACTCTTTTTGTAGAAACTCTGAGAGATAATTTTCTGTTCCAACATGTTAGAGACCCGACACATTACAGAGGGGAGCAAACACCCAAGCCACTTGACCTCATCATAACAAACGAGGAGGGTATGGTGGCCAAACTGGAACACCTTGCCCCAGTTGGCACCAGTCACCAATAGTGTTGTCATTCAGATTTAACTGTTACCTGACTCATTAAGGCACAAGAACGCAGACACTACGCTGAATATCATAACTAGTAAAGTGACCCATTTGATCGATAAATATATACCCAAGACCAAACCCAGTGCTTCTAGGAATACGAGGGGATCCTACACATGAACCATGCGGCGGTCGACAAAATTAAGAAGAAAACCCAGAAATTCAAGACGTGGGTTGGTCAAACGATGAGCAGGACAGGAGGATGTGTGCAAGAGCCAGAAACCAAGCAAAGATAGAGTGTAGGAGGGCTGAAAAGGAGTTCCAGAGGCTGGTTGCAAGCGAGGTCAAGTCAAACCCAAAGGCGTTTTACCGCTATGCAAAGTCAAAATTAAAAACACGAGTAGGAGTATCAGACCTAAGGCTTGAATATGGTAGTTACGCAGATTCTGACCAGGATAAAGCTCAGACATTAAACAGCTTTTCCTCGGTGTTCACAAGAGAGGATGCAATTAACCTTCCTGTGTTTGAGGACAGACTGTTCGACACAGCAATGACCCTCATTGTGTTCACAGAAGAGGGTATAAGATATAAACTGTCAATGCTAAAGGTCCATTAGAGTCCCGGCCCTGACATGGTGCATCCCAGAATGCTAAGAGAGTTGTGCAACGAGCTTGCCGAGCCCCTGAAGATCCTATTCAGCAAATGTCTAGATGAACAAAAGGTTCCCAGTGATTGGAAAATGGTTCATGCGAGTCCTATCTTCAAGAAGGGCGATCATCACTCCACGAACAACTATAGACCAGTGAGCCTGACCAGCATAATATGTAAAGTACTTGAGAGTATTATCAGAGATGCCGCGATGGAACATCTACTACGAAGCAACCTTGTAAAGGATTGCCAACACGATTTTATGCCAGTGCGCTCCTGCTTCACACAATTGCTCAAGGTACAGTATTGGATATTTGGACCCATATTCTGGAACGGGGTTGTAATATCGACAATATTTACCTAGATTTTGCCAAGGCTTTCAACAGTATACCCCACAAACGGCTGAAAATCAAACCAGAAGGGTACGAAATTCAGGAAAATGTCCTAGCGTGGATAGAAGACTTTCTACATAACCGCAAGCAGTGTGTGGTGATTAATGGCACAAAATCATCATCTGTACCTGTCAGAAGCGGGGTACCACAGGGCGGTGTATTGGGCCTGTTGTTGTTTGTTTGTTTCATAAATGACATGCCTGACGTTGTACAATCCTCCATACAAATGTTTGCCGATGACGCCAAGTTATTTCAGGAAATCAAGAACCAAGCGGACTGTTAAGAGCTGCAGAAGGATCTCTGTGAGCTCCAAGAATGGTCGAAGAAATGGCTGCTGAGATTCAATGTCACAAAGTGTAAGAGGATGCACCTGGAGCATACCAACAGTAAGGAGGCATATCATATGTCCCAAAGGGGTGAAGAAACTGCACTATTTGAGACTGAATATAAGAAGGACCTATGTGTGTATGTTGACAATGAGCTGAAGTTCTCGGGCCATTGCGAGAAGAAGGTAAATCAGGCAAATACAGTCGAGTCTGGATTTACGCGGTTTTGGTTTAAACGGTTTTGGTTTACGCACTTTGTCATTTACGCGGTGCCTTGCCAGAATTGAAATGCTTGATTTATGCGGCAAATTTGGTCATTTACGCGGGAAGTGGCGCGGGCTGGGTGCGCACGAGGTCACCCAGTCATCAAAACATCACCGAGTTCTTCACCCGCCACCCACCACAGCCAGCCCAAGTCAGTGATAGTGATAGTGAGGATATGGACTTATATGGACTTTGAGGGGTGTGACAAAGAGGCCCTGCAAGCCTCTGTGGTGGATAGTGATACAACTGATATAAGTGATACAGGTGAGGGCCAATAATCTGCCCTCTGCCTCGAAACCAACCCCCCCATCCCCGTGTGCCCAGCCATCTTTTCTACTAATGTAAGTGTTAAAAAACCTAATATTATTGATATTTCTCTTAATTATTAATTGTGTGTGCATACCATCATAAAATTAATGTGTTATTTTGACTACAAGGTACGTATTGTGTCGGAAAAAGTGGAGTTTGGGGTCGGCCCAGTCTCTATTTCAATTAATCCCATATGTTCTGTTATTTCATTTACCCGTTTCTCGTTTTACGTGGTACTTCGTGGGTTCAATTGACCGCGTAAATGAAGACCCAACTTGTTGGGTCTTGAAGGTCGTTCAGATATCTAGACGGTCCATCCCTCGTAACGACCTTCAAGAGTGAAGTGCTTCCCCATCTGGAGTACTGTCACCTCGTCTGGTCACCCGAGATATGCTAGGGACTGTCAGATGGTTGAAAATGTTCAAAGGAGGGCCACCAGACTGGTGCCTGCGCTTCGGCACCTCAACTACCCTGAGAGATTGGAGCACCTGAACTTGCCTAGCTTATACTACAGACGAGCAAGGGGCGACCTATTTGAGGTGTATAAGATCTCAAGGGACACTACTCAGTCGAGTGTCCTTACTTGGAGCTGGTGGACGCTCGCCCCACAAGGGGTCACAGCTCAAGATTGAAGAAGCCGCAAGTCCAGAAAACTGCAAGGTCAAACTTTTTCGGAGTGAGAGTTGTGAACTCTTGGGACAATCTGCCAGAAAGTGTTGTGACGGCACCGAGTGTGAGCTCTTTCAAGACCAGACTTGACCAACACTGGAGCAGGTTCAGGTACATTCAGGAGCCAGCGCATAACAGTGCATAACAGTGCATAACAGAGAGTCAGTACATGCCTAGTACTTGGCAACAGTGCGTGACAGACATGAACTATCGCCCAAGCGGCTAACGAGCCGATCAGTGGTGAAGGATATAAGTAAATAAAGGACGTATGCCAGTGAAGCCAAATTTTCTGTTTTATCTGAGCTAGCCAGATGAGTATTAGCTTTTGTACTGTCATCTCTGAATCATGAGTAATGCTGAGGCTATTGTAGTGGATTTCTCCCCTACAAACGCTGTTTGTCGCTGAGTAGCCGACCCCACCAATTCCCCAGTGTATGCCTCGTGGTCTAGGTCAACCAGCGCCGCCATACATCACGGAGCGGGGGTCAACTATTAAGCCACGCC